TAACATTATGTTTATTCTTTTAATTTATTGATTTAGGATTTAGAATTTTTATTTTTTTCACCCACATACTTTAATATGCGCTGTGAACTGTCGTTTCACAGTTTTATCACTTACATTTAGTTGATTCCCCCCAACCTAATTTTCTGTACTGTTCTCCTTTACAGCATTTCAATGAAAATAAAGACATTCAAGGCAAGTAAGACTCCTTCCCCAGTAGAGGAACTGTAGTATTTACAGGTTGTTCATATCACCCTTGGGCAAAAATAATCCAAGCAGTACTGGAAAAAACGGATGTAGAAACAGTATTCAGACATATTCTTAAAAAATTCAGCAAGGGTTCTATCTATTTGCAATGCAAAAAACAGTCAACATTGACTGAAATTTGGAAGGGGTATATTAGGAGACCCAAAGAACTCAAAAATGATAAAAGTAAAAACTTCTTTAAGATTTCACCATCGAAGTCCACATCACAGTCTTTGTGATCCAATTCAGTGGGGTTTGCTCCAACTTAACTTTCTGAGATTTAAATGCCATGTGATAAAGCTTAACTGTGCAATTCTGATTGTGCAATAGTCCTTAAATAAACTAATGTTAGTTCTCACTACGTGTATATATTAAAGCTCACTAAGCACAGCCCTGGGACCTGGGATAGACTGAAGTATTCATGTGGACAAAAGCTGATCTCTGTTATGATTTTAATAGCTACACTAGTTTGAAAGAAATAGTCTTGCAAATACAATTTGACTTATTCTATCAGACAGCAGGGGATTTTTTTGTTGTATGAGCCATAAAAACTACAAAATCTTTGCCAAAACCAAGTCCAAGTTATCTAGACAACAACCAAATCTTAGAAAACATCTCTTTTCACATGGTGAAAGTGTATGAAGCTATGAAGCTTCTCAGTATCACACTTACAAAACAATGATTCTTAAAAGTTCATGAAGTCAATATAATTTGACAGCAAAGAGGTCCCTGCCAAACAGAATCCACTGTTGGTTTAAACCAATGCTCTCATTTACTAGAAGACTTGACTAGATAAACAGAAGCAAGTTTCTCACATTTTTCATATTTGATATCTCACATGACCTCTTGAAAGCTCAAAGTACTGAAACACCTGGATGACTATTCTCCAACTACAAGGAAAGCATTTCATAAATATGTTTGCAGCTTTTGAGACTGAAATGCTCAACATTAATAATGGTAAATTGGCTACTGCAAACCTCTGGGATGGTGAAGTTTACACGGTATTTCTCTTTCCCTTTAATGACAACAGCTCAACCACACGGAGCAGATCAAAAACCTGACAACGTCTCAAGAGGCACTTCCCAAGGTCAGTCCAAAGACTGGATGTCCACATGATTTATTACACAAGAAATAACTTTGTACCATACTACACAAGATACATTATTCAGCTGCAGCACACAGCAAAATTCCCCACATGATCCCCTACAGAAAAACGTGAACATAACTGCTCAGCATTAACACAGATACTCAGCCTTCAAGACACTCCCAACTTCTGACACACACAGTACAAAGTGGCAGCACACGGCACGTTATATGGGCTCCAACACAGCTGTGAACCCCTACCAGCCACTCAGCTTGCATCAACTTGCTCCAGCATTTGTCAGCAATTACATTAAACAGGACAGACAGGAACCTGACTGTAAAGAAAGAGAAGTTTCTACTTCTCAGAATTCCGGAAAAAAACCCGCAAACCCAACAGTGGTCTTTGTACTCAGCTGCCACAGACGTGCCCTGTGGTTTCTGCAGCCCCTGATCACAGGTAAGGCAATGCTGAGTGGACACTTTCAGGATGGCCAGATTTATATCCATTAGCTGTGTACATCTACCTCTGCCTCCTCACTCCAATTTAGACTTGACCTCTTCTATGACCTTTCACAACTCTTAAGACAGAGCGATTCTCATTAACCAATCTGGGACAATTTTTATGCCCTAAAGCATCTTTAAAGTATAATAACATTATCATCTGTTTTACCTAATCAGCCAGTATTTCTAACGTGCTTGCAACTGTGAAATCCAAAGGTAGAATCACTAACACCATGATTTCCCCTTCTCACCTAGATAAGGAAGGCAAAGACCTTTCCTCCACTTAAAAAGAACCCCAAATACACAACACTTTCCTTTTCCATTTAAAATGTGCTATAAAAAGACACAGCACTAAAATTTGACATTCATCCTCACTTAAACTAAAATCATTACAGAAGACACACCTATCACTAAAATAAAAACCTATCAGTAAAATAAAACTAAATTGAAAAAATCCTTATTCTTCAAATTCCAGAAACTTTTATAAAGCAGAAGTAAAAGTGTCACAAGTTGTTACAGTTTATAAGCTGAAAGACTGTAGAGATTGAAAGACCACTGAAATAATCTTAGAGGACATTCAGAATTCTGCCAACACTACATTTTTGCTGCAGAAATCCTAGGTTCATTCTCTTCAAGGTGGATTTCAAGTGCTAGGAAGCAAATAGTACTAACTCAATTGGATAGTGAACTGTTTGCTGTGTCAAAGCTTTTTGCCAAACACATATATATAATTTTTCTTTTCACTATATGGATAATCAACCCCAGATGGCAATTTACATAGGCAAAGCATAAAGGAATCCACGCACTGCTGGTGCTCTCAGCCTCAATCAGAGCAAGCATGGGTGTTTGAGAATGTCACTGTTTATTTTTAATTGCTGTGTCCCTTCTTTGTGCAGGTTCAAGCGGTCAAAGATGTCGAAGTCCATTAGTAGAACTGGAAGGTGATGCCACTTCATTTGGTAAGAGGGTTCTTCAAATTTAAAAAAAGCAGCTGGTCTATAATGTCCCCAAATGCCCAGCGGGTACCAGCTGTCAATCTCAGTTACCATAGGGTCAGGGCAAAAAAAGGTCAGAGAGAGTCATAAACCACAATGTGTTGTGAAATGTGCTTCCTCCATTACCTTGTAGGCCTGAGAAAGGTTTGACCTTTTATAGGTATCCTAACCCAGCTCTGCATGATGCTGGCAGGGGTAAGTACAACACACACAGCTCAAACTTACAAAAGTTGTTTCCTTTTACTGAGCCCTTGGTTTCCATACCTGTACAACATGAACATGAATATTCACAAGTTGCTCATTGCAAAAACCCAAAACTTTGCCCACCACTATTATCACTCAGAGGCATGGACACATCTATTTCACACACAGTAACGGAAGGATTAATTCATTAACAGCAAATGGAAAAATAACAAACTTCCAGGGAAGTTGTTAATGCCATAACAGTCTAGCAATCTGGTTTCTCTTTGCAAACAACCTGTTTATCTGCTAAGTTGGTTGTCACTTCAGTGACAACTCTCCCAGTCACCTAGGTGGGAAGAAAGTCTCTTAAAGTCCCATTTAAGGCTTTCCCTACTCTCCATTTGCAAATTATTCACTACATTTTTGTCGTTTCCTCCTTCACACAGATTCTCAAAAAGCAGTCTTATTCCTAAACATATTTCTTCAAAATGTTCTTGGACTATACATGAAAAGCTCAGTGGTCACTTGCAGATACAATCTAGTGATGCATTCTTTCTTTGCAAGAAATAATTGCTCTGTCTCACCCCCATCTCCCAGAGCAGAAAATGACAGGAAGTTTGGCCAGTGCTATGCCAAAAGGAAAGCAGCAAACCCTCACATATATGCAAGGCCCTGTTTGGGTAAAAGCCATCTCACACTCATCAGCCTTGCACTCCTGACTGCTTGTCCCTCTTTGGACCCTGAATGCAAGCAGGCCCAGGGATTGTGAACAGGACACAGAAAAACAAAGGAACAGCAAGCAGAAAGCAGGAGAGGTTGAAACCAGAGCTACAATTCCTGCAAGCATATTCCCAGCAGGAAAAAGCACAGCTCCCAGAACAGGTTGCATGCTGCAAAGGGAACATGGGCAGTTAAGAACTTCACTCGGAAGCAGACATAACAGAGCACCCACCATGCAAATCACTTCTATGCAAAGCACAATATGATAGAAACTAGATGGCCACGGGTATCACAGAAGAAGCTGGCCAGAAACTGATTGTCAGCTGACAACATACTTCAGGTGAAATCAGAATGCCTTGCTTAGTCCTTCTCTTGTCCACAAAGCACAGTCAAAAATGAGAAAAGAGCATGTTTACTCAATGAAAGAATATGGTCCTTAAAGTAATGACTTGAAGATAATACCAACAACATGAAAAGGGGCCAATTCAGGCTTGTTGAGCCAAAACTTTCCTGTTTCCAGAATGTTACTGGCTGGGTCCACTCTTAAGTGGTAGCTGCAAAATACTCCTCAGTCTTGAGTTATTTTGAGAAAATCAGTGCAAGTGGAATAGACTTCACCTGTTCCGAGCATAAAATCACCTTGTTTTCTTTTGAAGGATGAATATGTTTTAAGGTAATTAAATAGTAACAACAGTTCAGCAGTTCAAAGGCCATTGAAAGGCTCCTGTGACTTTCTCCAGGCTCTCTGGAGATCCCAATGGCAGCAAGCCACCTACTGCATTCCAGCAGTTCTCCCAGAACACGCTGACACCAATTAAAGCTCAGCAAACAAAGAGAATGTATATCAAGCATTTCAATGCCCTCTTCTTGTCATTTCCTTTGCTCCCAGACATTTCTAGAAGTCTACCTGCTCAGATTCTTTTGCAAGCCTTCTCACTGCAGCATGTCTCACATGAAAGTAACCTTGTTCAGTCCTTGGGCACATCCTGTCTTGGAAACATGCCCACTTTGATTTTCTGAATTTGAAAGTCTAACATGCTAATCTAGGTCAGTCTTCTCTCCACCCAACTAAATTACTGAGCAGGTAATTTTACTGACTGCCTTATTTAAAAATCGTTATGTCTCTTCCTGTTATAGTATGGGTTATAGTAGAGTACAAAAAAAAACCCCCATGAAAATAATGGAATAATTTCAGATTGGAAGAGAACACACTCTTCTTTGTTGAGTGTCTCTTTCTATCAGGAAAAACAGGGGGAGTGAAAATGAGAGACTCACCTTCAGGGCAGGAATCTCCACACTGTCACCAAGGCTAACAGAGCCAGAAAGAATGGTCCCTGTCATCACTGTGCCTTGACCCTTGATAGAGAAACAGTGGTCGACTGCCATAAGGAAGTGTCCTGAGGGGTCTCTCGATGGCAGGTACGCCTGAGACTTCAAGACCTGAAAAAAAAGAAGATAAAAGCAGCACCATGCCTGGGTGAAAAGTCATGACAGTCACACAGCAAAAGGAAGGCAAGCAGATGATTGATTGAACGAGCTTGCAATTTTACTGATTCCAGGCATCTCCCAATGAGCTTAGAACGCACCAATGTCAAATTAACTGTGTGTGCCACAGAGGAGACGCACACTTAGCAGCAGGAACAGTTCGATTTTCTGCCTTAGAAAGATTTGGTGCTGCACATTTAGCTTGGTTAGCAAAACCGCGCTGGCGATAAAGTTGCTGCCAAACTCAATATAAACACTGCAGCAAAGCAAAGAGGGAAAAAAAAAGCCCTGTACGTGTCATTCTGCTTCTCATCACCCTTAACCCCCAAAAGTACAATTTTACAGTGCATTTTGCTACTTCAGCTTTTTTGGATTTTCTGAAAATGAACTTATATACAGATATTAGTGCCCCATAAAGCCTATCGCTGTCTCCCTTCCCAGAAAAAACCATTATACTGGGTTAAGTTTTCAAAGTCAACTTCTCCTTCAGATTTCTGTTAACACTTCTTGGAGGATCAAACCACTAAGAAAAACAGCTACTTAAGTACCGTTTTCTAGAGAAATTCTCTGAGATTAGCATTTCTCTTTTGCTGACAAATACTATGTTTCTTAAAATGCATCATCACAGACAGAAGACTTTAATTATTATAAGGCAGTCACGTACCCAAAAGTGCTTCAGAGGAACTGTTTTACTCCTGTCTCAAATCACTTTTGATCTCTACTTCTCTTGTAACACCAACATATACACTTGGCACTACCTTTAATTCAGTTTTTAAGGTCAAACTGTAGATTAAGCCCAAATTGTAATGGCAGAACAATAGAGAGCATCTCTTATGAAGGACAGAAAGGATAATAACTTGAAGCTCAATGGCAGGGCTCACACAGCATTTGCCAGCTCTTCTAATATTAGGTCTCAGAGTTGACAGAAACAGTTGCAGCGTTGGTATTTCCTTCAAAAGGTTTTAACCCTGGGGAACATTCCACTAAATCTACCAGGAACCAGATGAAGGCAGAAGTAAGGACTTGCATATGTCCCCTCTAGACATTTCTGTGGGTAGACTGGTTCTTACTAAGTCTATTCTAAGGTCATCCTACATCCCATCCCCATTCCCATCTTGGGTCACACAAGCCTGGGTGCCGATACAGCGTTCACTGCTCAGTAGCTCTGTGGAATGTCCTGCCTTTATACAAGCCAGGCTGCCCTGGGCCAGACACTCTAGAGTGTTTGCTGACTGATGCTGCACCTTAACTTCAGTAATTTACACTTCTACATTTGGCAGCATCCAAATCAGAATCTGACAACTCTTCAAAGAATAACGCCTCTGTTTTAGAACCACTTTCAGCTGTCTGCAAATAACAGCAGCATCCCTCCAGGGCAAAGACGTTGCTTTTGCCTAAAGCTAATTCACAGAAAGGGTGGCAAGTCTACTACAAGCTATAAACTGCCCTCAGTTAATTTTAAGTGTCCTGCCCTTCACAGTATATGCTTCATGCCATATAATTTAGGGTTTTGACCATCTGAGAAGGTATTCTTCGTCCCCTACCCGCAAGAAAAACAAACAAACAAAAAAAACCACCACAACCAAACAACAATCCACATCGCTGGAACTGAGGATACCTGTGAAGCAACAGTTTGCTTAGTCTTCTCCTGTTCACATGGGTCTGATATAATGCTGGTTGCACAATCATAGTTTTTCCCAGGCCCTATCTCATTCAGGACACAGCGTAAATCCAGGCCATGCTTTTTATCTTTTAAAGATGTGTAAGACATGCAGTAAGCAAGGCAGGGTATCACAGAAGAAGATGGTTTCAATCATGAAGGCAGGCAGTGCTTCTTTAGTGAATGGATTCTATATTTAGGCCAGAATTCCCATGTATTGTCATTCTCAAGAAAAGGAAATTTCTACAGGTAAATCACTGACTATGCACCTCAGACTGTCCAAACAGAAACACCAAAGTTTAAACAGAAGTGCTAAGCACTCATAACTGAAATCAGAATTGGCAGGTACTACGATCTGAACACAAGCATGTCCCAAAATAGTTCCTAGTTTCCTTAAATTTGGCAATTACAATTGGTAAACTCAGTGGACTTAGCTCCTTTGCGCCTCAATTTTCCAATCTAAATATGGATTAAAGTCACCTCTACAGTTCCCATAGGTGTTTTGGAAGTAAATTAACTGTTTGCCAAGTACTCAAGACCACAGTGATGTATGCCAAGAAAACTCCAGGAGGAAATTAATTACTCTGAATGCAGAGCAGTATTTGAATGGAGTCATGAGGCCACACAGAGAATAATGAGAATTAAAATAAAATATGGACTACCTGCTTACTAGCTGAGTCCTGTCCATCCTGTGCAAGAAGCAAGGTCAGGGTTGTTTAGAATAAAGAATCATGAAATGAAACACTGGACCATAATACACACATGATGGAAGGAGACAATGCCCAATGTGTAACTTTCGAGTGCCTGACTTAACAACTTTACTGTTTTCTTAACTATGGTACAACTGTAAAACAACACCGACCAAGGATTTGGTAGAATTTTAAAGCTATTTTTTATTCACTATGCTTTCTAACTCTCTACAACTTGAAAGACAATTTCAGTACACTTGTGGATGGTCATTTCTTAAGATACAACTATTCTACTACAGGCTTTGCAGGCTAGCTGTTGAAAAAGGAGATCCACTTTTGGGGCATGTCACTGCAACTTCTCAATTCCCTGAAAGGAATCCTTAAAGAATCAGGTTCCTTAAAACTAGAATTAATACAAGAGTTCCTCAAGTCTAGATACTAATACACTGTACTCAAAAAGACTTCAGAGAAAAGTTTGAGCATGTTTTATGTTATTATGATGTTCTTCAGCAGGTACCTCAATTAATTCGGAAACACCCAGTGGATTCTCAGACTCTGGGGCTTCCGGTCCACCGGGCTTTGCTGCAACAGCAACAATAGGACACCCACAGAATCTGAAAGAGAGAAAGACTCCCACCATTAGACTGTAGATCTCCCATATGTGTCAATAAAAAGTAGCTCCAGGCTCACCTGAAGGCTAGAAACTCCCTGAAATCCCAATTTCTTTGCTCCTCCCTCACAGTGAGTGACAACTTACTAGTATCAAACTATTCAGTTACTTTCCTCTGCCTATTATTTTCCACCTTCTGTAGAATTTCCTGACAACACCACAATAATTTCCCCAGCATTGATGGCAACACCTACTCCACACCGGCAACAGACTTCAGTTTTGCTTACTGCTGTGGAATTGTACATGCATGTTTGCATGTGCAGTGAAAATCATTATCAACAAATAAACTATTAAAAAAAAAAACCTAACCAAAAAAAACCTCATTGCCAAATGTCTGGGTTCAGAGGCAGCTGTCAAGTGGTCTCAGCATATGTCCTACTAACAAGAGTATTTTAGAAACAAAAAAGTAGTTAAACGTGCATTTGGAGATTCAAAGTCAGTGGTATAGAGGCTGTCAAGAAACACCCCATGCCTGAGATACAACAGGACAAGCACTTTGCAATCACAGTCAGGTCAGCAGTGCTTTCAAAGCACAACAAAGCACAGACAGCACATGCACAACCTGAATTTTTGTTCCCTCCTCTGTACACTGAATCCTGTTCCTTAGATTCTTCAAATCAAAATGGGACCCGATAGTTATGTCACCTTACATCCCTGATAAAGCAAAAGCTGTGCTTCAGTTTTGTGTAACCACTAAATAAATATTTTATCTTCCCACTTCAAAACAGCAACATTTTCACTCATGAACCTCACTATACTCACTCATTATGTACCTTAACTAATGTACTGAAACAGGGCTGACAAATATTGTCCCAGCCAGAGCCACATTATATAAACTTCCATCATGCCCCATCTCCAACTGGGGCAATCACAGTTTTCATCCTCATTTAAGGAGATTTCCTAACACTTTCTTTTTCTTCGGAGTGAAACAGACTTGCAGATCATAACAAAAGTTACAAGCCCAAAGGCTAAAAAAACAAACGAAAACACAAAAAAACCCACAAAAAGACCCCCAACACAGCCAGAAAACACCTACCCTCACAACAAACAAAACCAACCAAACAGCCCCAGAACTTTTCACCTGGATGTTCTTTGTGTTATTAAACTGAAAAGCTTAATTATAGGAAAATATTTCTCTACAAATGATACTTGCACATGTGACTTTGGAACTACACTGGAGTTTCCAGCAATCTTTTCACTCTCTTATCATCTTTGCTAGATGTCTCAGCACTCTTAAAAGCACATTGGAAGGGAAATGCAGGTATTTTTGTTAAACATTTTGTTACAAGTCAGGTGTTAATATCACTGTTCACTTACTTGGTATTTTCCAAGGTCTTCTGCATTTTCTTAGTCATCTTCTCAATGGCACTTTGTCTCTTTCCCTCTGGAAGGAGATCTATTTTGTTCAGAACCACCACCATCTTCTGGCAGGCAATTTGCCCAATTACCAAGCACTCTGCTGACTGTGTCTGCATCCCTTTTGTCACATCTATTACAAGCATCATCAAATCGATAATCTGGGCACCTGGAGGAGAATTCACAGTCAGTATTGCAGCAGCATAAAAAGATTAAGAATCATTTTCTCAAATAGCTTCCATAAAAAAAGTGTCAGCAGATGTACAAATACCCAGAAAGACAAAACACAAGTCAAAGGATGCACTGACTGCATGGCTCTTTGGAAATTAAGACCTCAGGAATTTAAGCTGTTATATGCTACCATCGAGTTATAAAAAAATACTACAGAATGCAATAGTTTACATATTACCCCAATGCTGATAGTTCAAGTCTAAGGCTGTTATCACTGTGTTTAAAAAAAGTGCTAAGAAAATTAACCTTGCAGCAACACAAGCATGACTTTTGCCTCAATTAAAAACGATAATCTAGGAAGCTAAGTAGGAATATGACAGAGTTTAAGAAACACAGCAACACTGCAGAGAGTTGCATGGTCAGAGTTACCCCAACAAGAGTCAACCATGTGCCCCATAATTACATCAACAATCCTCAGTCCCCACCTGCTTCCTACCATTTTTTCTTTCAAAGTCCAAAATTTGATAAAAGTGAAAACGAAGTGATCACCACCAGAGGTAAATTTATCCCAAGTCTAAACAAATTCCTACAATCCCTCAACATAAAAGGTGATTTATAAACCTGCAATATATTGCCATTTACTCCCAATTCACATTCACATAACTTGAACATGTAATTTCAAACACAGGCAGAAAGATCTGACTCTTAGCTCCCTTCATGAAAAAGCTCCTAAATTTCATGCTGAAGTTACCTATCATGCTTATGGATTACTTTAAAAAAATCAAAGTATTGTTGTCATGAACCCTTAATCTTTCGATTGAAGCAATCTGAATTTCATGGATTTAAATTAGTTTTTAAGGAAACTTTTGATGAATGTTGGGCCTTCCACTAATTATATTCTGAATTTTCTTGTTTCATTCCAGGTAACTGAAATACTCTGAATACCAAAATAGTAAAGTGCAACAGACCTTAATATTGACAAAGTTTAAACACAAAAAACTAAAATAAATAAATAAATAAATAAATTTAAAGCTGAACTACCAGAAAGTCTTATGTCAAAAAAAAAAAGCACATTTTGAAAGATGACAGAAGATAGAAAAACAGGAAACTACAGCATTCTGAACTGAAGTACTTTTAATATTTGCCTTAAATGAGAAGAACAAGAAATCAATACAACTGTTCCTTGTTCCTTCACCCTCTCCAGCCTTCCTCCTGCCTCTCTTTTTTTTTTTTAAGGCTTTTACAATGGCTATGACAACAGCTACCCTTGTTCCTAATTCCCATGAACTCAGGATAGGAAATCAGTCCGAGGTTGAAGTGCAGGGGTGAATGAGCAGGTGGGAACTACAAGAATAAAAAAGATTACATTTACAAATGACTATTTTCAACCTACCAGAGCTTTCATCTTGTAATAATGAATGCTAAACCTTCAGAGCACTAGTGGGATAATAATGACATTTCCAACGTTTCTGCAGAATTTTCACTAATAGTTTCAAATATTTGACCCTAAGAAACTTTGGATGGACTTTGTATCTTCAAAAGTAGTTTGTATTTTTATTGTTTCAAGAATTGTATTCATTTAGAACTTGCTGAAGTTACAATACAAAAGTCATCAAGGTTGTACAAAAGGCTCAGACTTTATACACCACAGAAGTGCAGACCTGAAGGTCAAGAAGCAAGGAGAGCAAAGGGCATGAAAATAGTTTTGAGTGGGACAAAATACTTAATAATCAGAATGGGTCCACTTTTACAGGTACATACAGCAGGGCTTTTCTAAACTTAACACACATGTTTTGTATTACACTGCAACACACAGTAATTCTCACTACACAGGTGTCATCCTTAAAATGAATGGGAATTAATAATTAAAACCAAAACATCAAGTCCAATGGATTATTAATACTATTAAAAGGAGATATAGTAAAAAAATGATGCTTGAGTCTTAGATAACTCTGCCATGACTACTAAAGCATAGCAATCCTCATGATCCAAAATTAAGCCAAAGTAACCAGACCCAAACCTGGCCTTGAAAAGGGTGGCTGAGAAGATCCATTACATATGGTGTATATAATGGGTATCTCCTCATTTCAACAGGAGACAAAATCTGCGCAGATTTTATATGCAGTTCCAGTACAAGGGCCATTTTATCTTGAAACACTAAACCAACTGCTTTGAATACATTTGCTGTAAAGCAAATGCTTACAATTGCTGTATGTATGAATCTATTAGCAGCACTCTGGAAGAGCCACAAAAATCATCAGTTCAGTTGCTAAAAGGTCAAGAATGTCTACTCGGGGGCATTTCATAGCAAAGAGAAGATGAACAAAGGAAAAATAACTATACAGTCCATGGAAAAACTCCATAAACCCCAGAAAACACACCATGACACTCTAGACAAAAAAAATGTTACAAGTCAAGGAAACAGCAGCATCTACAAATTCACAAACATCGTCAGCACAACCACTGTGTCTCCTGCAAAGCCTTAACGTGCTGACTGGCCACAGTTTGTAAGAGATGGCACAAGATGGAAGAGAAGACATGGCAGGCAGAGAGCTGGCACACAAGCAGGGTGGGAAGCTGTTGCCCTTCAACAGAGTCATGGAGCCAAGGGAAAGATCAGGACAGCATTGACAGAAATACTTTTGACTGCATTCTCTCCAAGGCATCAGGACGTTTTGTACATGTTTACTCATGAGTGCTCAAGTTTACAGAACCCTTGGGTAACAAGGGGAAAAACTAACGCTAAGATTTAGGTCCTCAACTTTCCTCTTGGAGCCATCTTTAATAAGCCATCTTTGATAATTCACTGTCTTTCCAATCCTTCATTCTTCTCCTATAGTTTTACATTTTGTTTTATTCAAGAACCCAGTTTCTTAGTAGCCCATCATTCATGCACAGAGTTCATTAAACAGTAGAACAAAATCTAGAGAAGTCAAAAGACAGAGTACAGGGATTCACAAATGTAACATTTCCAACCAGGAAAGTTGGCAGGTCATTTGACAGAACTGTAACTGTCTCCCATTTAACATGGAATACCTCATTCAGTACACTTTCTCTAATAGCATGCAAGTGGTAATAGCAGACTTAGAATATGTTTAACTTTGTATTCACTACTTAAATCACCTCTAGCACACTAGTAAACAGTCAGCTCACTATCATATCAGAGTTCAGTCAATGAAAGGAACAACATTTCTGAATAATTTTCTACAGCAGAGTAAGACTTAACTAGAAACAGTGAAGTGAGGATGGATTATATGAGTATTCTCAAGTAATCCAATCTCACTTGTAAAAGTAAAATAAATACAGCCATACCAAGTGGAGTCTCCAAAAATAGTAACAAGAATAAAACATGGTGAAAATATCACTCAATAAACTTGCACTATCTGACTACAGAGTGCCAGCCACGTGCTCTTGTGTGAAATGGAACAGAGAACTGAAACACTCAGCTTTTGCTCAAAAAAGGAGACAGGATATGGTCCCACACAGTTAAGAAGAATGATCTGGAAAAGATTATGGAAGAGTTGAGTGTTCCTTGAGCCTTCAAAGAAGGCAAATGGCTTGAAATTACTCTGAACAAAGCAGAGACACATGCAAAGGACAGGTCTGCATATAAGGAAGCACAGCAATCAAATATATTTTATCTGCATACAGGTCATATAGAAGGTCATACGGATTCAGTGACAAAGTTAAACTAAGGTACTCAAATTATTTTTTCTACAGAGAAAACAAGGCTGTAACCTTTTATTTCCCACTTCATCTATGAAAGAAATATTCAAGAAAATTCAGACAGATTCAGACAGATGAGTGATTTCTCACTTTGCTTGAAAATGAAAGATCACCTACTGGAGTACCCTTTGTGCGATGACACACGGCTCAGATGGAACCCTGCAAAAAACAAATGAAACAAACTAGTTGTCATCAGAAAACACAAGGGGGTGGTAAAAGATGGGAATTATATTGCAAAGATAAGCAGCTAAACCACAGCAAAAATAAAGTAAAGTAGATAGTCAGAGGGAAGGAAAACAAACAAGAAAGATAAAACATGAACTGAGAGAATCTGGATGACAGCCAGATACAGGCAAAACACAAGACCAGCAGCACAGCAATCACAGAGACTACAAGTGCCAGCTAAACCTGGAGGTAGCAGCACTCACTTGCACCATGAAAGTGACAGGGAACACTGAACTCAGATAATAAGAAAAACACCTTCACAGACAAGATAAAGTCAAAGCAATAGCTAGAACAGTCACAACCCACTCTTGCTCCTAAAATTTGGGAAGTATCTGATTATAAACCGTCATTGGGGAAGTAATTTATTACTCCTTACTCATGAGACTAGTGAATCACAGGTGTCATAGATTACGACAAGTTCCAAAAGCACAGAAGGCAGCAACTCAAGTTTCTCTAAACTGGCAATTGGCTCAATTTCTCCAAGGGAAGAGCAAAATGATACCACTTGCACCACATCATTCCTAGCTAGCTCTCACCCTTGGATCCTGAAAGAACTCACTAGCTACTACCTGAGTACAATGAAAAAGAATCATATGCGTTAATAAAAGGATGAATTAAAAAAAAACCAAACATAAAGCCCTATAATGGCCATGTTTTATTTTGGAACAGAACATTACATCTTAAATAAAAAAGAATCTCCTTCAACCTTGATCACAGAGGTTGTTTCAGTTCTGTTTGTACATGAACTCAAAACACTTTCTGTTTGTGCAACCTGTCGCATGCTTGTAAATGATATACCCAAACTGCCAGACTGAGCTGTGCTAGTACCACAGTGTAACATTTACAGTAAGGTAGAAAAAAAGGACGTTATTAGGTCTAGGAAAAAACAACAATCCAACCCATACAAACAAGACTCCAAACATTTCAGCCTCTTGTATTACTTTATCAGTTCAAAAAAATTATTACTCTTATTATACATGCACTGAGTCCACTTTCAGAACCATTCCATTATAACCTCCAAGCACTAAATTAGATACTCATTCCATCCTTATTGAAAAGGAGAACCAAAAGGCATTTTCAATAAATAGGCAGAATCTCAATTGTTTTCTCTTCACCAAGTGCACATCAAGAATATAAGAGCATTTACAAGTTGTACTGTTTTGGTAAGCAGACTCCCCAAAATCCTTCAATATAAAGCTGATTAGGCTCTGAAAGGTAAAACCTGGGCTAGTGGAGGGAAGAAAAGAGGTCAGGTCCCTGTGTGAATGAAGGGAAGGTTTTGCACACCACACAATAATGGAACCTAGACAGAGATTCTGACTCAGGGCTTCTTTAAGCTACTGTGTCCTGTTTGTGGTAATCTTTTTAGCTGACTTTACTCAAACAGTACAACTCCTGTTCACAGGCACCAAAAGGAAGCAGAAAATGGAATTTGAAATGTAAAAATAAAATAATTGTGGGCCATGGGCTATAATTTGATTTCATGGTTTACAAGGAAATGAAAGAGGACTTCCTTAAACATACTTTTTTTTTTTTTTTAAATATGCTTTTTACCATGTTAGGATTTCCTTTACTGTAGAAGAGAAAATAGGATTGTAGAAAATGTACCGTTCTCAAGTATCATTGCTACTCAGGGGCAAAGCTCTGTTTTAATGTGCACTTCCCATTCTAGGGAAGAGGAAATTCTTCAATTAATAAACCGGGTGGACTGAGGCGAGTTTTTAAGGTTTAATCAATTTCATCTGCACATGGGATAAAAAGACCAACTATTCTACCATTTTTGCCTCCCCTATTCCACATTCAAAAAAAAATAATAAAATCAATGTTTTATTTTAAATTCTTTGAGGTTAGTATCTCCTGTCGCAGGAAATATTGTCTATATCATGCAGTGAGTATTCAACTTCCCCCTTCCCAACCCCCTCTCCATTTTTTTTTTTGTTAAGAAACTTTATTCAGAAACAACTAAATTATTCCCTGTTCTCATATAGAGTAACACCCTGGGAGATGCTACAAGTCACACAGGATTTTGCTAGTTACCTTAGGAGAGGCACTGTGATGAATAAGGAAAATGTTTGATGGGATACGAAATCTCCCAAAATTCAAACAGAAATAGGAGGTGTGAGGGGGCAGAAGAGACGTGCACACAACTGGAGAGCATGAATTACACATGAAGAAACCCTCTGCAAAGCAATGCAAATCATGGATCAAAACTGACACAAGTCTTGTTAGGAAACACTTTGAAAAGAAAAGGAACTCATGGAGTTCAGGCATCCCACCATGACTTCCAAAGCAGGTCATTCTTAAGGATATCAGTAAGTTCAAACAGGGAGCTGTGCAGCTTCAAACGCTGGATAGTTTGGAATATCTCTGATAGCAAGCATCTGACCAGCAACACACTTCTTTTTGAATGCACACTAAAGCTTAAAATTAGAAGCATTATGTCATTGCACAAATTCTCTTCAGATGAAAAACCAGCCAGTATGGTCGGTCTTAAACTGAGAGCTAGAAAGGGAAACCAGTATGGTCATGAGAGCATAATTGTAAGAAGTCAATTTCTTATACAAATAACACCTCTCTTATTTGTTATTTATTTTATTTCTTTGTTTTAACCCATTATTTATTTGTAAACATGAGTTCAACTCAACTACAAATAGTAGGTAATGAGATAATTGCTAATAAGGAATAAAAGCATTCTTTTGCAAAAGACCTCACCTAAGAATCCCCTTGGAATATACTTTATACTTCATATCCCAGATGAAACAGTGTGTCATACTATTCTGAAGAGGATAAAAAACAATGAAGGCCTCTACTCTCTCCTCTGTCAAGTCATCCACGGATCTATCTTGTTTGAATAAGTCCTAACTTATTTGTGTCAGAAACAATTATGTTCTTCAAAAGGAGGAAATGCCTATAGTGATTAGAGCATGTCAATAAGCTTGATTGGCCGTGCTGAGTAGCACAAACAAAGCTGATAAGGCCTTTATGAAGGTCATGCTAAGAAAGGTTGAGGAAAATCTTCCAATAATTTACTATTATATCCTGGTCTAGTTATTGCAATATTGTACACAGAATGAAGCTTACATTAAATGGATGAGTTACAGAAAAAAAAAACACAGAAACAAACTTTAAAGTGAAAATGATCTCAAAAAAAGTATTACAACACAGGAAGAAAGATTATCAAAAGATCCTTTGCAACGATACAAGGAGTCCCATGTTGTCTTTAGCCTCATCAGAGAAAGCCTCTTGTGAGGAAAACCAAAAGCACCAGTCTGAGAAATATCTGAACACTTCTGTCATTTCCACCACTACACAAGAGAGACTATTTCAAAACAAGGCAAAGACAGGAGGCCTTCACTGCAATCTGACTAAATTCACTGGATAAACACACAAAGTTACATGTAGTTTTGTAAAAAATACATACAATTAAAGAGAATCCTTCCTCCAAAGACTCCCAAATAGAAATCACTAGCGGTGATTTCAAGTGGTTTCAAGCCAGGGCAATCACACGCTTTACTTGGTTATTGCACTGTTCTACATCATTGTTTGTACACAGTCAGGCACACCCAGAAGCACTTGTCAGTGAAGTGGGACAGTGAAAAAGCATTTGCTCTGGCACCTGGTCATGGAGGCTGCAGCTGCTTGAGCTGGGAAGTTCCTATTCCTGGCTATGCTTCCCCAACACTGCGCTTATTCAGGTCTCCCACTTCTCACAAAGCCACACCAGACCCCTCTCCCTGAGGCTGACAAGGTGACCCAGCTGCTGCAGCACCCAGGGAGAGCCAGAGTTGGCACAGGGGAGGCAGCAGGACCAAACAGCCAGGAGCTGCAAAGGCAAAAAAGGAAAGAGCAAAGCAAACCTCCCCCGTTTCTGGTGACAGGACACTGCTGCAGGCCAAGCTGTCCCTGAAACACCAGCCTGAGGAACTCCAGAAAAACTTAAAGCCAAATAAACAGCCAATGTATTGTTAGGAAGCATTAGAAGAAATTTAAGTACACATGTATATACACAAAACTAGTGCTATTACTTCAGAAAATTATGAAATGACAGCAATTATACACTATTCAATTCAAAATTGCTTTATGTGTAGGAGCAGCCAAAAAAGGTAAGTATTAGACTTTACCTATATACAATGTAATATTGAAATAAAATACTGCATTTAGAGCTAGTCACTTTCTGGAAAAGAAAACTTAAAAGATTCCTTAAAGAAAAAAGGAACAAGACAAATGCAATTAAGTCCTTCACAAACAACTTCACTTACAAAGACAAATCCATGTTAACAGCTCACAAGAACAAAAGCAAGTGAAGTTCAGCAAGAGAAAGGGAAATAACACACCTCTAATAAAAGAGCACAATCAATTATGTTACTGTAAATAGCACAACAATCCAAACTCAGTGCTGCTAAATACCATTTGCCTTTAGACAAATAAAAATACAGCTTTGATATTCACACTGTTAAGATTTTTAAAGCTACATCAAGTTGGATGAAATTTCATTGTTTATAAAACATCTATGATTTTATGCTGTGTAAGAGATACTAAAATGAAATTTAAAGCAAGGGACACTTCATTCCATCACTGACTTTCTTGCTTTAATCCTCCAAAAGATTCACTTTGTTTCCAAAGAAAATGTAGCAAACCAGAAAAGTGACTACTAGGGTCTGGCATTTAAATTCCTGTTCTTCAAAATATTTCTGAAGAAAACCAGAAAACCACCCCGAATGAGAATCCTACAGACAATGAGGGCACAGCAAAGCAAACAATCCTAGCCTTGTAACAAGAAATGCCATGTAATACACAGTATGTGTAAAAATGGAGGTAAAGCACCATACGAGAGATGTCATCTTTCCTCCGTATGTAGTAAAGTTCTTTTCTGTAATACTGCCTATTACTAGATCTGAATTTCTATATGGACAAGGCACAAACTGGACAGAATC